CTTTCCCTGGTTTTCATTTTATGGAATATTTGCAGGACAACTAGTGTTTTGCTCCTTAGAAAGTTCATGTTTTTCTGCTCATCTGAAATAACAAAATTTTTACTATGACATGACAGTTTATCATTATGTAACAAAAAGCATTTACAATAAAACAGAGAAAAGGAGAATGATTGCAGGTGAGGAGACAAGCAAGTTTCCAAAGGAACAAAGACCTCATGTTCACACAAATGCCATAGGAATTGCTTTAAAAAGGCAGCAAAAGAAGATGTATTAAAGAGCATTGAAGCAAAATTATTTCTCAGCAAAGCATTCTATAAAGTGACAATAATTAAAATTGGCGCAGCCTTAAAATGATATTGAGTTTAAAATACAGAATCTTAACAGGTGAGGAGTCTAAAATTTTAAACTAAATTAAATCCTCTGCCCTCACTCTTCCCCTTCCCCTCTACTGGTCTTTGTCACACGTCCTATGTTTCCAGCTCATATAGCTTCCTCTCTAATAGACATAAGGCACATTAACGCTGTGTATGGACTGACTTGGGACTAACTTTAGTTCCACATCAGCCCACACACATAGTGTTAATTCATTTTAATGCATGCACGTGTAAACGTGAGCCTAAATCATTTTAGTGCACATTAAGCTAATGCGCATTAAATTTAGGCATGCCTAAATGCATGTGTAGATACACCCATACTATAAAATAATTACTAACAACTCCTCCTACACAATCCTTACAACTTCTGTCCTGGACATGTAAATATATGAGTGGATTTGAAATAAAATTTGGTAAACTTGTCTCTAATGCTGCTGCATTGTTTCATTCTTTTGCTAAGTAGAGACATCTGGTCAACTGGTGTCTTTCAAAGTCAGGTAATGATCCATTTAAATGAATGCATTTGGTTTCACACAGTCTTAGCAAATGTCTAGTGTGGGAATGAAGACTAAATTGGAAGTCCTAACTTGGCATTTCAGGTACATTTCCCTTCAGCTTAGTTTGCTAAGTAATTGCTAAATGGAACAATGTCACTAATTATGTGACTCAAGCAAGACAGGTGTCCCTATACAGTAAAACATCAGAAGCATACTATATAATAGTACACATTTTCTAAAAAGTTTTTAGCCACTTTAAATTTAGAATTTTTTCATGTTTAAAATATTTAGACCAGTATCAGGGTTGCCAACAGTCCATAAATTTATAGACAGTCCATAAAGAAAGCACTAACAATGCTTGAACATAAAGTCAATTTAAAAAAATGGATCTGTCTGTAAAAAGCTAAGATATGTTGAGCTTGATTGAAGCACTGTCTCAGAACAAGGTAAGTGCAAATATTGATGGATACAGCAAAGCAGCATTGTTTTTAGTCCGAGTGGAATGCGACTTGGCACCCTTCAGAGAGCTCTATCAGAGCTCTCTGGCCCAAGGGAGTCTCTGTAGCTTCTTCTCCTCCACCTAGCCATGTGCTCACTCTACATCTTGTCACCTGCCTGTAATGGCTGCTTACTTGGAAGGTAGGCAGGATCACATCACCCCCGGGCCA